TCGGCGTTTTCGCACAGCCATTCGGGCAGGTGGCCACCGTTAACTTCCGGGCCATTAAGCCGAACGCGCCCGTATTTTCCCGGGGGCTTGTGGCGCTTCAGGATGGGAAGCGGCGACAAATCGGCCGACACCTCCATGGTAAGAAAGCGCACGTCGATACCCTTGTGAATAGGGCGGAAAATGACGCCCCGCTCCATTACGGAATCGTGGAACAGCAGCTTGAAGATCTTTGGGTTGGGGATGTTACCCAAAGCGTTCGAAGGTACGCCGTAGCCGTCGACGTAGAGCGTTTCATTCCAAAATTTGTCACGGCACGTCGACGCCACTTCCATGATTGCCTTGCTGGTGATGGCGGTCTTCAGAAAGTCCTTCATTGGCATGTGTTGAAGGATTTTGTGTTGTACCTCGATCGGCAGCCGGCAAAAGTGCTTCATCTGAAAAATTCGACTAAAATTCGTGACACAAGGTTGTAGCGGCAATGAACAGTAGAAAATGCCAAAGCGGGATCGCACAAAATATGATAGAACTCTTGGTCGGAATAACATAACGGGTGCGGGGGAACAGTTTTCGTCGTTTTGAATATCTTAGATATTTCGGCAACGCCATTCGATGGTGGGACTAAAAACATACGAATTACTTTTTTATGGCCCGGAAAACCATATCCCGACGATTTTTTTATAGAAAAACTTTGGCAACTTTCGTGATTTTTTCGAGATTTTTACAACGCCCTTCCATAGGGCATCAAAAATCCCCTACGAGTTGTTGTTTCAGCCCAATGTATTCTAATCGAGAAAAGTTTTGGCAAAACGAAGAGATCCTTTGAAAAACGGATCCAGCGGCGGGTTTTCGAGATTCGCGCTATTTTTCGAGATTTTCCGACGATTCGATAGAGCATCCAAAAATATACTAGGGGTCTTAATTTTAGTTCAAAATAATATAAAAAATTTGCGATAAATCAAGCACGTGGTTTCCATAAAGAGAGAGCGAGGGAGAGAGATAGAGAGAGATTCGGAAATTGCCGGCAAATTACAGATTACAAGATTTTGTGTCATTTTTGTGGACAGGCAGGAGGCAGGCTAGCAAATGTTCTATAGGAAGAGAGAGACCGAGCGAGAAAGAGAGAGAGAGAGAGAGAGAGAGAGAGAGAGAGAGAGAGAGAAAGACGGAAACCGAGGTCACGAAAGATCAATGTAACCATCTAGTTTCAAAGGAGAGGAATAATGACAAAACGAGAGAAACAAAGGGAGGGGTTGGTAATTTACAAAACCCAGAGAATAGCTCCAAGTGAGATTGTACAAATTTCATTAAAACAAAGGGATTTGTTTGATGATATCCACATTTCACGTTATCACATCTGCCATGTTTGCTATCAGGGGTGGAAATCATCCCCTTGAAACATCAATGAAATTCAAAGTTGACCTCTGCTATTCGGAGAATTGACCTACTAGCAAAAATGGCAGATGTAAGGTTATGGAGATAACGGCAAAGGCGGTTTCTATAAAACGAATTCATTTGTTCAACGGAAACTCTCGTCCGCAACCCCAATTGGAGCTATAGTTTGGATTTTTAAATCTCGCTCTCTCTCTCTCTCGCGCTCTCTCTCCGTCTCTCCCCTTAGCTCCCGCTTTAATTCCAGCGCAAAACAATGTAAAATAAATGGTTTTAAACATGGTTTTTTCGGGTTATACAAAAGCTCTTCTCGTATTTTTCGGCCCTCCATCGATTGGCGTTTTCAAAATATCGAAAATACGTTTCCGCTATTCTCATAGTATAGTTTTTGACGTTCTATCGATTGGCGTTTTCAAAATATCGAAAATTTCAAATATTTGGCTTTCCCCCGCCCCGTTATCCTAGGTACTGCCTCATGATTTTGCTTAATTTCTCTTTATTCCCTCAAAATTTTATCTTACGTTTTTTTCGGGCTGGAAACAATTCTCGTAGTATGTTTTTCGACACTCTATCGAAAGGCACTCGCGAAATCCCACCGTAAGAACAAATATTATTCCACCCCATTATTTTATCCTCCCTCCCCCGATCATACAGTGGCGGTCAACATGATGTCCGGTCGGGAAATCGCTTGACCGATCGATCCAATTTTTATCAAAATTTGCGTCTAGGTCAATTATGCTACTGGCAAGCCGCTGGCAATATCGAAAACCGCGCTAAGTTAAATTTTGACGCTCAGATTTCGATTTTAAAAAAATTGGGAAGTCGACTTTTTGCTGAGGCATTTTCGGTTTTCAAAAATGTGTCCATCATGTTCAGGAGGGTCGAAAACCTCTTTTCCGATACTTTGTTTATTTTTTGCTTGTCGGGCTTAACTAACTAACTAACTAACTACCAGGGTTGAAAAGCCGCTTCGCGACTTTTCAACCCTGGCCCAGACAAACCCCATAATATTCTCCACTCTGCATACGTCTCTCGAATTTTCTGCATTGAAAAAATGAAAAACCCGCCCCTCTCGCATTATATATAGGCTACCGCCGCTTCCGGAGTATGCTAATTTTTCCTAACAAAGAGAGCGGGCGATTTTTCAACAAAAAACTTAATTTTAATGTCGTAAATAGCATAATTTGCAACATTTGATATGCGTGCAGTCATCCCAGAGCCATTACACACCTAATGACGCATCATACGTAGCCTACGACCCTTCCCCTCTTGAGATATCTTCCGGACACCCTGACGGAAGTTGCATGCAAAGTGTCACACACACACACACACACAAACACTATTTTTTTATATACAGGGTGTCCCAAAAAAAACGAACCATCTGGCATTTCGCCGTGTTACATCCAATCGGTACCAAAAATGGACCAGAGGTGTATCGTACCCTAAATAACAACAATCCTGACTCACAGCCCCATAGCTACAGTAGTTTTAAAGTTATAACGAAAATACTTTTTTCCCGGAATTCTGAACAGTTTTTTCGGCTATCTTTTTGGACTTTGCATCGATTTGCATCGACTTCCGGCTGCGAATCCCTAATTTCGCTTAAGAACTTGGGCAATTTTGTGTTGTAAAAATCGCTTAAATCGACGCTTATTTAATTAATTTTATTCTGAAAAAAATTTCTTAAGGTAAAGAAGACCTACCGGATCATTTTTACTTAATGTTTAGAGGGTCTAATTCCACGAAAACCCTGTGAAAAATGGAAAATAAAGTTTGTTTTTGCCATAACTCGAGAACTACTATAGCTACGGGGCTATAAGTCAGGATTGTTGTTATTTAGGGTCTGATACACCTCTGGTCCAAATTTGGGACCGATTGGATGTAACACGGCGAAATGCCAGATGGTTCGTTTTTTTGGGACACCCTGTATAGTAGGATGAAGACCGGAAGTTGCAGTCGCGGGGGCGGAAACCTCCGCGATACGACTAACTAGGGAATGGTCTCCGCTCGGCCTCGAATTTCGGGTTAAAAGTTAGCTCATCTTGTAGAGCTCGACGAGACGAATCGATTGATCCAGTTTTTAGCTGCGGATACTGTAATACCTATGTAAGGGGCCCCCGAAATGAACCCGCCTGCGCAACTTCTCGACCTCATTGAAGCGAGTCAAAACCCCCGATATGTGTGTGGAAATTGGTTACCTAGAGGGACTCGATCCTCCTGAACACGATGGACACATTTTTGAAAACCGAAATGCCTCAGCAAAAAGTCGAGTTTCCAAAATTTTTTTAAATCTACCTTTGAGCATTAAACTTTAATTTTTCGGAGATTTTGTTATTGCCATCGGATTGCCAGTAGCATAATTTACCTAGGCGCAAATTTTGATAAAACTTGGATGTATCGTGTTCGTACAGCAAGCGATGCCCCGACCGGACATCATTTTGACCGCTACTGTATCTCGCCCGATCCCGGTTTGCTGTTCTTTTTTTTGGTTTTTTTTTCCATTGTCCATTGCCGCTACAATCCCATTTCCCACACCAATTCCACCCCACTTTTCAGATGGTCGACTTCTGCCGCCTACCAATCGAATTACAACACGAAATCCTTCGACACATGCAAATCGGTGACTTTCTGAAGACAGCCATCACCAGCCGGGCCATGATGGAAGTGGCGACGACGTGCCGCGACAAATTCTGGAATGAGTCCCTTTTCATCGACAGCTCCGGCAAAGGGTCAATCACGTTTGATGACGACAAGTGTGCAACCTTCAACAACCCAAAGCTCTTCAAGCTGCTGTTCCACAATTCCCTTATGACGCGGGGCGTCCTTTATCGAGCCGTTCCCAGAGGTATCAACGTGCGCTTTATCGCAGCGGTGTTGTGGACCCCTCATTGTCGGCTCCCCACCCTCAAGCGCCACAAGCCTCCCGGAAAATACACCGCCGTATGGATTACAAACCTGAAGGCCAACACCAACCTGTTCGAATGGCTGAGGAAAAACGTCGAGTTTTTCAAAACTAGTTTTTTCGAGCCAATATCCGACTATATTACCTTGAAGGTACCCCGGATGGATTTGTACCATTACGACGAAGAGATGGCAAGCGACACCTATCCACAAGCCGTCATCGAGTCGTGGCTGCGCATGGAGCGTGAGATCGAACTCGTTAACGTTCTGTGCGGCAATTTCCTAGTATCAATGCGTGTCAATGACCTAGGCATTCCCGAGTATATGCAACAGTTTCCAAAACTGTACGAAGAGCTGTGGACATCCCTATACCGCATCCGACGCACCGACGGCCGGGTGTTGATCGTGGAATTTCCCTTGTACAAGAAATACGGTGTCAAATGCGGGAACCAGTACGAAATCATGGAGCGATACATGGATCTCGAGACGGCCCTTCGTAAACTGGCACCCCGTTATCATCGTTTTTTGGTGGCTGGTGTTGAATAAATTTGATGGAAATTTGTTGTGACCCAACGGAATGCATTTTGAAGAGACAGAAAGAGAAGGAAAGGGGCAGAGAGAGAGACAGACAGACAGACAGACAAACATACAGTAGCGGTCAAAAAGTCACGAACACGATGAACATGGTTTTGAAACCCGCAAATTCCCCAAAAAAAGTTTATTTTATCATATTTTTTTGAAATCGAGATTTGATCCCTAAAATAACATTTTCAGCTGGCTTCGATGTCGCCATCGGATTCCCCGTATCACAATTGACCTAGATGCGCAGTTTCATAAAATTTGGGCTGGTGGGTTTCGAACAGCAAACAATTTCCCCGAGAGGACATCTTTTTGAGCGCTACTGTACATAGAAACATACAGTCCCAAAAAACAAGCCCATTTTCGCGCCCTAAATGAGATAAGCTATTCGTAAATAAGCCTAGAGATCCGCTAGCACGAGAGGGAGCGGAGAAACAGACTAACTGACAGCCAGAAAACATATTTGGCGCAAAAAAAACGCCGGGAAAAGACTAACTGGCTGGCACTAGGGCCCTTTCTACTCGTTTTCCGAGCCCCTTTCTCTGCTCCCTCTCATTTTCTCCCTCTCTTTCCTCTCTCATCCTCCCCATCCGCACTCCCAGTCGACCTATGCCCCCCGAGTTTCCCCCTCTGTTTTTCCTCATTTCACTCGTCCATCCCGTTTTCTCCTCCCCCAGCGAAATCTCATCGATTATCCGCGGGGTGCCAATCCGATTCCGTCACATTTCTGTTGACACTTGCGATTTTGCGCTTTTTATGTTTCGCGTGCCTTTCGCGCTTTTGAAAACTGAAATCTTCTTAAAATTGGCTGTCCTGTTTGATTCTCTCTATTATCTTTTTTGCTTGATAATTTAATAGGAATCTAAATATATTTGATAAATTTTTGGAACATTGAAAGTTTTGGCTTTTTTTGGCGATTTTTCATACATTTTCGATCAAAACGCCAGAAATTTAGATTGTTTTCATAATTTGCATGGATATTTTCTTTCTAAAAACAGTGTGACATGTTAAAAAACGTTATTATTCGTTAAAAACCCTACGGAAAATGACTGGGGCGATTGGTCCCCCGCTAAGCGATAAGTGCCTAAATTTCGTGGTTTGTTTGGGGTAGACCGAGGCACCACGGCTCTTTTGGAATAATGCGATGGTAAAAAATTTCAAAACAAATGTTATTTTTACCTTCAAACCTTTTTAGCTTTCCTTTTAGCTTTATTCAATTTTTTTAGTAAAGTTTTTAAAAAATTTGATGAAGAAATCGGAAAAAATTCCGAAAAATATGCTTTTAGAAATCCTACTTTCTATAATTTTGGGCGTATTTAGAAATAATCTTAAAAACGTTTTTAGGCTGCTTTAAAGTGGATTTTTTCTAAGGCAACAAAAACAAATTTTTTAAACGTTTAGGTTGCCTGCCAATTGAGATTTTACTGTTTTTATAGATTTTCCTTGAATTAACATTTTCTGTAATTCGCTGAATTCGTGAATTCATTTTTGAAGCTTCTACTCGCCCACGAAGATGCCATCCCGTCTCGACCTCCGTCGTCGTGCCCGTGAGGCCAAGGCGAAACTCGTCGAAGTGATCGATGATGGCATCGACTCGATTCGCGACAATTTTGCCGAGATTGACGTGAGTTTTGTGAATTTTTAAGTGCGAAAATTATTGGCTTTCAAAAACACCGACCAAATCCTGGCCTTCTGAATTCTTAAAAACGCAATTTGCACACAAAACTTTTAAAAACGGACGCTGTTCGATTTTTACCCGTTTTCTTATGGATTTATGACTTCCCGGTGTCTTTAAAGCCTGAATTCGTATTGAAACGACTTCAACCCTCAACTGAATTCAAACCCTTCCTTTGGATCAGGTTTTTAAACGGTTTTTGGCTTTCTGTACACCTAAATACCGACAAATCAAATTTCTCGATTTTAAAGAGGATTTTCTTGTGGATTTGTCACTTCCCGGTTCCTTTAAAGCATCTATTTTTATCGAAAACGAGCTAATCTAGTAAGATAAATTTCAATTGTCGATTTCAAAGATTTTTCTGATGGATTCATGACTTTCCAGCACCTTCAAAAGCGGTGTTTCTGGCCTTTTCCGCACCATTCCTCTTTTCCACAGATTCCAGGGTCAGCGAGGGGTGTCTGGTCAAATATCAGGCATCGAAGGGGTGGGGGCGTATGAAAGACAAATATCCGGTACGGGTACTTCCCACTAGGTATTTCTCTCTCTCCCTCGCTGTCTCTCTCTCTCTCTCTCTTTCTCTCGCTCTCTCTCTTTCTCTCTCTCTCTCTCTCTGTCTTCAATTGTCCCGAGTACAGTCCCGTACTTGTCCGTTGTTCTATTTTGATCCATTCCATCCCCCTCCAACCCCATTCCATCCAAGGCCATCTCAGCCTCGGGCTGACTGACCGGCTGTCTCCTACTAAATGGCCATTTATCGATTAGACGCGAAAACCGATTGGAAACACATGTTTCTACCAATTCAAACGCTCTCTTTCGGTTTTCTGGATCTCAAAAGAACTCTGCTAGCCTGCCCCCCCCGAGCCCCGAGCGTCTGGATCGACTCTGATTCTTCAAATTATTAGTCTGTTTTCCTAAGGGATTCCCGCTAGCTTGCCCACGTTCTCCAATGATCTCTGCTTGTCGCTCCCGGATTTAAAAAAGTTGGCACACCTAGCTGGCAGCGAATTCCGCAAGAATCTCTACTAGGCCCTCCAATTGTCCTAGAAGCTCACTGCCAGCCTTCCAGATTTCTCAAGGATCGCTGCTTGGCTGCCTTTAGATTGTCGAAATGCTCTCAGCTAGCTGTTTTTCGATTCCACAAGAAACTCTGCTAACCTGCCATCATCGCGCAAATGCCTGCCCGTTTCCTAAACGATCTCTGTTATTCTCCTAGGCCCCGCCAAAAAAATGAATTTGACTGATTTATTTTCTCGAGCTCGGTTCGAATCCCACCAGGAATCCCTGTTGGTCTGCTCAGTTTTCGTCAAGGAGATCTGCTAGACCGCTTCAATTTCCAGAATTCTTACTGCTGGTTTGCCCGCTTACCTGGCGGTTCCACAAAGAATCTCTGCCAGCCTGCCTGAAATGCCCTAAAAATCTCTGCCAGCGTCTCCACAGTTCCTAAAAAATCACTGCGAGCTTGCCGTGGGTCGCCTCTGTGTTCTCGTTCCAAAAATGTCTTTGCAATTTCGATCGATTCCTCAAAGAATCTCTGCTAGCCTGCCCCCGTCCATCCCCTCCAATTCCTCAAAGAATCTCTGCTAGCCTGCCCGCGTCCATCCCCTCCAATTCCTCAAAGAATCTCTGCTAGCCTTCCCCGTCCATCCCTCCAATTCCTCAAAGAATCTCTGCTAGCCTTCCCCCGTCCATCCCCTCCAATTCCTCAAAGAATCTCTGCTAGCCTTCCCCCGTCCATCCCCTCCAATTCCTCAAAGAATCTCTGCTAGCCTGCCCCCGTCCATCCCCTCCAATTCCTCAAAGAATCTCTGCTAGCCTGCCCGCGTCCATCCCCTCCAATTCCTCAAAGAATCTCTGCTAGCCTGCCCTGCTCCAAACATTCAAATGATGGCAGAATACAGTACACCCCATTAACCACCATCCCCCTCCGATCCCATATTTTCTTAATGATCTCTGCTAGCTGGATGACTCACTCCCCATTTCCAGATGTCCATCTCACCCTCTTTCGATTTATGCGTCAAAGACAAGGGTCGATTTCAATCTGCCTCTGCTCTTTTTCTCTACCGTCTCTCCCTATATCGATCTCTCGCTCCCTTTTTCACCCGATCGACGACAGTACAAATTTATTCCGATCCACACGTCAACCACTCAGCTTTTTGAAATCTATTTTCTAGAAAAACCCTTCCTGAAAATTCGCTACAATTTTTTTACGAAAGCACCTTCCGAATATTCGTTTTTAATCTGTACTTTCGGCCAGGGAAAAAATTTTTTATAGGCTCAGAAGCGCCTAGTAAGCTAATATTGTGTTTTCATGGGTTTTTAACAAAGTTTAACTATATATCGAACTGGAAAATATCGAAAATTTTGGTCGAAATCGGTCATTTTAGCCTGAAATCGATATTTGTCGACATTTTGAAACTAGAAACCACTTTGTAATTTTTTAACTATAAAATTTTTGAAAAAATCTAGGTTTCAGCCAAACATTGTCCATTCTGGTCGAAAGAACGAAGTTTTTTTTTTGTATTTTTATAACTATTGTATTAGATACTATTAAATTTTACAGGGCTTTGAGGAAAATTTGTCTCCCCCCCCCGTTAATGCAAAAGAACCGTGATCTGTAGTCTGGCCTTCCTTTTTTCCTTGTACTTTGTAGCCTAATTCATTTCCGCTTTTTGGGTACAAAAAAAATGCCGTTCGGCTCGTCGAAAAAACACAAAATCAACAGCGGTGGGAAGGAAAATTCAAAAATTGTAAGTTTAGGCGGAAAATAAAACCATATAAATCAAAAATGGTTTGAAAAGCAACTAATAAAGTTTGTTTTTTTCAGATGTCAATGTTCGGGCGGCTATTCGGCAAGAAAAAGGAGGAAATCACGGCCGAAGATGCGATCAACCAGCTGAAAGACACCGAGGCGATTCTCGTCAAAAAACAGGAATATTACGAGAGGAAAATCGAGGAGGTACGCTAGAAAAAGCTATAATACATATAAACAATAAAAATAACACTAACAAGAATATAACTTCGGTTTATGCCTTGAAAATGAATAAAATCCACATTTTTAGGAAATCGCAGCAGCCAAAAAATACGGAAAAACAAATCAGAATATGGCCCTGAACGCGTTGAGGCGGAAGAAACATCATGAGCTGGAATTGAGGTAGGCAGGCGAGCAGGGATTCTTTGAGAAAATTTGAGAAACGAGCAGGCTAGCAGGGGTCAAATGCGGAAATCTGGGTAGGATAGCGAAAAGCATGGGCAATCTAGCGGAAAACCTGTAGGAAAACTTGGTTTAATTGTCCAGAACGCAGGACTAGCCGAGAACTAGCCGAGATTCTTTGAGGAATTGGAGGCAAGAGCAGGCTAGCGGAAGTCATTTGTGGATTTCCGGTCGAAATCGCGAAAAACGCGGGCAAACTAGCAGAGAACCTTTTGGAAAGCTTTGTTTAATCACCCAGAACAAAGGGGCATGCTAGCAGAGTTTCTTTGCGGAATCAAAGAGTGAGCGGGTAGCAAAGGCATTTTAGGATACTTATGCCGATCAAAAAACAAGGGTATAAGAGTCCCTTAGGACCAGGGCAACCTAGCAGCAATTCTTAGGGAAACGAGGTTTTGAAATATGGAGAGTAAGCTAGCATGAACTTTTAGGAATTCTAAAAATCCGTTTTAGCCGTATCGACGGGACGCTGGCGAAATTAGAAGCGCAGCGCGGTGCTCTCGAGGATGCGGGCACGAACGCCGAAGTGCTGAACGTGCTGGCCGAATCGTCGAAAACCCTCAAAAAGGCCAATATGAACCTCGATATCGATAAGGTACAAATATAGCCGGGTTTTTTAGAGCCAAAACCCATAGAAAGGCGTGAATTACGTGGCGTAATCGCTTAAACGCCCGGCCAAACCCCCGTTTTTTTTCAGGTGAACGATCTGATGGACGATATCGGCGAGCAGATGGCCGATTCGGCCGAAATGAACGAGGCTATCTCTCGGAATGCTGGAGGAGAGACGGTAGATGAGGATGAATTGATGGACGAGCTGCGGGAGCTGGAGAAGGTCAGCTAGCGGAGAGCGTTTGGGGAAAATAAAAATCGGATCTAAAACCGTCGCTAGGAGGCTGCCTAGCGCAGAGCATTAGCAAAAACCTAAAAGGTCTTTTTTAGCTCGGAAATGGGAGAAATTCTTGCGCTTTTATTGTCGAAAAACGCCAAAAGAGGCGCGAAATAACGCGGGCAAACTAGCAGAGATCGTTTGGGAATTGGCAAGCGATGTTATAAACAAGGCAGGCTAGCAGAGATCATTTGAGAAACGAATTTTTGCGTTTTTATTGCCAAAAAGCCTGAAAAAGAGCGCGGAAAAGTGCAGGCAAGCTAGCAGAGATCATTGGGAATGAAATTATAACTATTCTACAGCTGAAAATCCCCAAAAACGCGGCAAGAGCTAAAAAAACCGGGCAAACCAGCAGAGATTCTTGTAAAAAAACCTAACGGGGCACTTTTCCAGGTAGGCTAGCAGCGAGCATTTAGGAAAACCTGGAAAACCATCAATTCTGACAATTTTGTCGTCCAAAAGTCTCATCAAAAGCTCCAAAACCCCCATTTTCAGAGCGCCGCCACGTCGAAACCTCGAAAAGTGGCCGTGGCCGTCGAGGTATCGGAAGAAATGGAGGTCGACGAGCTTCCGGAAGTGCCTACCGGCCCGGTCACGCGTTCCAAAAAGGCTCAGGTCAAAAAGCAGGACACCATGGCCGAGTTGGAGGCATGGGCCGCCGCTAATTAGACGCTCTAAACAACGACTGTTTTAAACTCTTTCTCGCGGATTTCACACGTGTAGTTTGTAACCTAAAAACCGTGCTATCCCAATTTGCTTATATTTCCATATTTCCGGCTCAATCTCACGACATTTTCGAGATTTTCTGTTGCAAACATGTGCATATTTTTCTTTTTCTTCTTCACAAATGATCTTCAAGAAATTCCTTATCAGTTGCCGTATAAATATAGTCAGTACTACTACCAGAAATCACACAAAAAAACCGTAAAATCACAGAGGATCCATTACAATCAAAAAAAAAAGAGAAATTACAGTACGCGGGTAACAAGAAAAGGCCAGAAAATCACAGAAAAGAGGTGGAATCAGAGAATTGAACAGAAATTTGTATACATTAATAGGTATTTGGCTTGTTCCATTCATTTCTCGTTGATGAGCGAAGAGTCGCGGGCCGCAATCTCCGTCATGCTGCCCTGAAAACAAAAGAAAATTATTTGGAAAAAGATGGCTAGAATGTTAAAAAGGCATTATAAAAAAGGACATAGCAAGAGGATTTTTGCGCAAAAAATATTTTCTACAGTACCAAATTTGTTACTGATCGGTGTTTGCAGTATTTTTTTACTCAATTTTGGCTTGTTTTCGAGTCGCCGAACTCTCGAAAAAAAATTCTAAAAAAACGTTTAAAATTTTGAATTTTGACCGAAAATAAGTCATTTTTGGAGCGCAGCTAATTTTGCAAACGCACGACGTGTCGAAGAAAAGAAATTGTATAAAAGAAATAATAGAAAAATTAATTCTATCAACATTTTAAAATTTTAAGTTTCTTTAATTCCGAATTTCATAAAAATTTTACAACCCAAAAACCGACATTAAACATCTTTGCCGGGATGCCGACATGTCGAAGGGCCAGCCAGGCCAACGAGGCGCCGAGCCCGGTGTTGCACGCCGTCACCGTCTCCACGCCCGGCTTCAGCCCGTTGGTCACTAAAAAAAAGTGGTTAAACTCGGGAACTGTCGGCGGTGCTATGGTATTATCGGGGGGCTTTTTGAAGCTAGCAATTGTTCTAATATAAAAACCCGACGTGCTTTTTGACTGTTCCCAAGCGCAAAAACTACACACTTTTATTAAACAAACATAAAAATATCGATTTTTCGGCGAAAATCTAAAATTTTCTAACATTTTTTATGGGTTTCTCCTCGAAATACAATTATATTCTGCCAAAAACACTACTAAAATAATTTCTACTAAGTTACAAGCCATTTCTAGAATTGTACAAAAAAAAATCCCTCCCCAAATAATGCAAAAGAACCGTTTTTCAATTTCGTTGTAATCACTGTCCACATTATTATAAATAACTAGATATCTTCAAAATGTACACCTTTTTCTTTTTAATTAATTCAATTCGATTTTGCAATTTTTCAAACGCGGCTAGCCAAAGAAAAACGAAAATCGGCGTGAATGTAACGAGCGCACAGGATCCGCGCGTACAGAGTATCGTCGCGTACTCAAAAATTTTGCATGGTAACGCCTGATAAAAAAATTTTTCGCAATTTTTGCTTAAAACATGATTATCGCTTGGAAAATGAACCTTGCTTAATCTGCTGGTCGTCGACGAGCCCTTGATCTCCACATATGCGCCCGTTCCCAAAATGCGAGGCCCCCTTCAGATGGTAGCCGGTGGATTCTGGAAAACCTAGAGTTAGGAAAGACGCCGAAAATCGTACTCGTTCCCAGGATTGCGCCCTTGCCCTCGTCAAACATCTCTTTCGGCCGGCAATCCAGGTAGTTGATCTAAAAATGAGGATAAAAATCGGTTCTGGACGGTTGGCGGGGGGGATTTCTTAGGAGGGTTTTTTTTCTGGCGGTCTCGGTTGACCTAGTAATCAAATCGAAAGTGTTTTCACATCGTTTTTAGTAAATTTTAACTATATTCAAAGCAAAAAAAACTTTCAAAAAGTTAGAAAAATGTTTGAAAAGTCGAAAATTTGGTCATTTTCCCCGCGAACCCTGAATTTTTCGACCTAAAATTAGATTTTTTAACTCAAATTGGTGTAGATTTTATGCTTAGGAATAGTTAAAACAATCTAGAAACGCATCTGCTATTTATAAAAAAAAAATTAATTTTCTTTAAAAACATTTTTAAACTTTCTAGCATTTAAAAACTATTAAAAACATGATGAAAGTACATACAGAAAAAGTGGTTTTCCTCTGCTAAACCCCCCCCCCGCTAACAGTCCAGCACTCAAAAAAAAAACGAAATAATGATCAATACCTTGTCCAAATTGTCGAAAGTGCTGTTGCCCTGGTCGTGGCCCTTGTAGAGCTCATCAAACGTGGCAAGCCGGCCCTCGGGTTGGAACGTGTTGATGGCGATGTTGCCGGGCGGGGGCGCCGTCCATTTCGCCGATTCGACGTCGCCCTTCCACGCCGTCAGCCCGCCGTTGAGCACCAGCGGGGCCAGGCCGTATAGCTGAAAAAAAAGCCGAAATTCATGCAAAAATAACAGTACTTTATACACAATTAATTCTGTCGTTAAAATACAAGAAAAAAAACTTTTTGGCTGTTCAAAACTCGTCAGTTTACTTTTTTAGATGAACAAAAATACGTCTAGTAATTAATAGAAATCAATGCAGTAAGTTAATTAACCGATTTTAGTTCAATTTAGCCTAATTTAAAGTAGTAAAATTGCCTAGGAAGCGTGCAATTTTTTGGAAAGCCATATATTTGGCCCAAAATAGTCCATTTCTGGTGGAAAAATCCCTTTTTTGGAATGCTTTTTAAGCTTTTTACGTTTAGCAAGATGAAAATAACGCGGAAAAACCCTCAATTTAGATCCCATTAAAAAAAGCAGTTTTATTTAGCTACATTATTACATCTTTAATATTTTGCACTTTCCGACGTCATAGCGATAATTCTTTTGAAAAACGAAAATATAGGAATCCAGACAGGCAAAATGACCATTTCCGGCGCTAAACGACACAACGAAAGCATGAAAAGTTTTATACCTCCAAAACGAAGGCTGCCCGCGCCGCGAACGACATCCCCGCCATCGGACCACGCGCGTACGTCACCAGCGTGTCGCCTAAAATTCAAGGTTGAACTTTTAAAATGTTTTATACCTTGATTGACGCCGAGGTAGCGGAGTAGCGCCTGGAATTGCTCGGGTGTGTAGAAGTCGAAGCGGGTTTGGCTGAAAAAAATAGATTCACAGCATCACGCAAATCTCCGTACTTTCCGGGCGGGCAGAACACGTCGAGGGGGAACGGCCGGGCGCCGGGCAGGCGCTTGCTGTCGAATTCGGCGTGCTTCTAAAATATAGTGGATAGAAACACTGAATTTCTCGTTTTTTTCTCAATGAATCAGAGGACGCCGAATTTTTCCTATGAGTCCAGATATGCCAAACAACAAAATAGGAAATAGTTTAGTTTTTTTTAGCAAAATCCTATGAGTCCTATGAGTCCACATTTTTAAGCTAAAAACTACGCAAAAACACGTAGAAAAAGATGAAAGTTACGACTTTTGGGCAAAACTAAGCACTTTACTGCATTGACTTTCGGGCAAAAAATCTATATTTCTCCCATTTTCATCCGTTTATTCAGTATTCCCAGGCGACAGTTTTTCCTAAAAAAAATGTTCCTTTGGACCCGGAACATCTAAACTATCTAAACGTTAAGATACTGTACCCAATTTGACAAAAACCGGCAGAATAAACACTAAAACAATTCGCGAAATCCTGGAGCTCCCACTAAAAATATCTATGCTTTACCGGTGTCTATCAATGCACCAAATATCCGGCAAATTCTTCACAATTCGAACCCCCTCGGTATTTTTAGGGCTTTTCGTATTGTTTCTAAACTTAAAAACTGGAAATGAGTACAAAAATAGTTGAAATATAGCCTTTTCTACAAAGTCACGACATTTTAAACATTTTTCTAAGTCGGCTCAATAATTTTTGAAACTGAGGACAGCTAAATTTATTAAAATGTGCAGTTTAAAGCATTTAGCTGAATTTTCTCCACGGTTTTTCCAGCTTAAATCGGGCAACAGTATCTTGAAACCACTATTAAAATAGTTACGCTGCTAGGCGTCCGGAAACACCCAAAAAGCTAGCTACCTTGTCATTCACGAGGGCATCGGGGTGGCCGTCGTACTTCTTGTGCCATTCGGCCGCATCCCCCTTCGGGCACATCACCCACGACGCGTCCAGCAGCACCACGCCGCCTTTCTGAAACCAAGAAATTCATTATTAAAAAGCATAAAAACGAACCGCGATCAGTCCGGTCAATTCGTCGGCGGAGATGATGCGCGGCATGGTATTTCCCCTGAAAATTGAGCTAAATTGAGATATATAAAATGTAATCGATGAAAAAGGCAACCGAGGAGGCAATTCGAGCAAAGGTTCACGCAAAAAAAGCGGAGAAAACGACCCCCACGAGTGTGCGATAAGCAAACGGAGCCCCCCGATTCGCCGGAAAAGCCGAACCGATTACGGCGCGGAACTCGTGGCAAGGCCGCAAACAACGCCTTTTGATGGGAGAGTGGATAAAGCAAAAGAAAAGAGGAAAAGAAGAAGCAAAAAGCAAATAAATACGAATAAATAATACGGAAAATTACTCTATTTTACTGGGGTATTAGCGATTTTACCAAAAAAAAGAGATAGCAAAATAAAGCGAAACAATCAATGAAAATAAGCCAAAAACTACTAAATCAATAAAAAAATAATAATTTAATAAAGAAAACTGCTTTAAAAGCTTGGTAAATTCGAATTTTCGAAAAAGAAAAACCTGCTCCGAAACGCGCCAATCGACGAATTCCGTACGGATGCATTCGTACGGAGCGTCAAAATCGTTTCGAATTTTCATTTTCTTTTTAGGCTTGCGAAACCGAATTTCTCGTTTTTTTTCCGGCCTATTTTATCGATTTGTTTTCCTTTATTTTAATCTTGGCTTGTTTTGTTTTTGTTGGGGATTGTAAAGACGTTTCTAGGGCGTTTTTTGGAAAATTTGGAGATGTCGAGAAGATTTTTAGGCGCAATTCACTCTCTTGTAGTCCTTATTCAATTATTTGAGCTCTCGTTACTACTTACAGGGACACGCGACGTAGCTCTTCCGATAGAGCTTGAAATTCTGAACAAAACGCCACTTTTCGAGGTACTTATCAAGTTGGGGGGGCACTTTGGGTACCTTATAGGGGACGCTTTTTATCGCTTTTGCGAGTCTATCTGGGGTAGTTTTTTACGCTGAGTGCGAAGAGGGTAGCAACAGCATGCGAAACCGTCGGGTTTATCCAGAAAAACAGTGTGAAAATCTATTAATAAAAAATGTACCTATGCACAATTTGAGGCTTGCTGCATTGTCAGGCGAGGTGGGCCGTCGCTTCGGGTGGCACGAAGCCTTATTTTTAGGTTAATACCGGGTGTCTGCATCTCTAAATCTTAACAAACGTTTAGATAAGCGCATTTTACAACTCTGGTTTTGTTATATTCGAAACCAGCACAAAAAACTAGCCTAGAAAGCCTAAAAAAATCGAAAACCAAAGTGCCCCCCAACTTGATAAGTACCCTTTCGAAAATTGTGGAACTACGGTCTATAGAGAAATTTGCTTGGAAACGCCGATTCTGCCCATTTTTAGCCGGTGCTAAACAAAATATAGAGTTGAAAAAACGTTTCTAAACTGTTGTTTTGCTATTCCTAAACGTAAAAATTCCCCAATTAAAAAACAAAAACAAAAATATAGGTTAGTCTGACAAAAACCGCCATTTTTTACCAAAATTTCGATTCTTCCAACATTTTTTAAGGTTTTTAGATAGTTTCTGGTTAAAATATAGTTTTATTTTACTAAAAACTATTAAAACGCTTTCTGCCCGTCCCAATTGCGATTTTCCTGGCGGGTTTCTGCTGTTTTCGCACCCGTTGCTCGAACCCTCACTTTTCACCTTTGTTTTCTTGCTAAACATTCCTTTTCTAACATCATATTTTTTCCAGACCTCAAGCTGGGCATGAACGAGCCGAACCTACCGCCACTCCAGATGAGTGGCCTCGTCGGGTGGGTCGGAGGTTTCCTCCGACGCCACGGGGTCAGTTTCCTTCTTTCCTTCCTGAGAATCCCCCTTTTTAGTACAAAAATGCGCTGACGGCGCTGATGGAGGAGACGCGCGAGCTGACGGCCAACCATCCACCCATGCTGCCCGACACCTTCTACGGGCTCACCCTGGAAGCCGGGTATAAGGTATAGAATTTGGCTAACTAAAGAACTTCAGCAATTTGAGATTCAAAGTTACGAAAAAAATGAGTTTTCGACCAACATTTCAAAATTTTTGATTTTTGTTCACCTTTTCCTTGGGAATTTCGGGGGGCGGGACGAAGTGTATTAGCTAGGCCAAATCGAAATTGATGCTGCGTTTGCGTATTTTTTTGCTATTACTGAATTCAGAAAACTGACATTCGTTGAAAATTACGAAAAAGTTACTTTTGGTTCTTTAGGATTCGCGGGGGGGAAACAACTTTTTTCATGTGGGCCCCGCTTGGACTATTAATAAAATATCAGTATTTTTACATTGTTTTTAGTAAGCTTAAACATTTTTGATTGAAATTTGTCGTTTTTATGATTGGGAATAGTTAAAACAATGTAGCAATTTAATTAAGTAAACAAACATTCGCTATCTATAAAAAAATTTTGGCTTAGAAGGGTAAAATTGCGTTTGCCCGATCTTGCGAAAGCAGGCTAACGAATTACGTTCTTTTTCAGTGGTTCCTCGACACGTATCAACACTCCGTCCAGCACACGCTGCTGATGATGCCCTCGGTGATGGCAACCACTCAAGCGCAGCAGCGTCGAATCCAAGAGGTACAGCCGAGGCTTTGTGCTAGTAATTCATAATTTTCAGCAATTCCCGTTCGGCCAGCCAGCAGCTCAAATGCCGCCCGAGTTACAAGCGCTTTTGATCGCAACGCCGATGGCTCAGCACCAACCACCGCCCATGCTCAACAACAACATCACGGCGGGGTACGTTTTCCTAGTTTTCCCCTATTTTTTCGCGTTTAGTGAGCCGAATGTCATCAACAAGTACGAGCCGCAGTCGCCACCACCACCGCAACTGCAACAACCACCGGCCCCGTCGCCCAACGCACAGCACAAGCCCGTCCAGCAGCAGCCGGAAGCCAAGGAAAAGGCGGCGACGCCGGCGCACAAGCAGGTATCAGCTCAAAACGGCCCGCGTTTTTTTCCGTTCTGGACTGTTAGCGGGGGGTTACAGTTCCCCAGCCTCCCCGCACGGCCTCGTATATAGCATTTTACATGGTTTTAGCGAGATAAACCGCGAAAAAAACTCTAAAAATTGCGACAATTTTTAGTTTGGGCAAAAATGCATGAAAAATGACGAAAATAGGTCAAGATTCTCGGATATTCATTAATTTTCGAAATACTTTTTTTAAATTTCAGTAAACAAAAACGACAAAAAAAACGTTGAAAATTTGTTTGATGTGATCAAAACAAATAGGTATAGGCGGCAAAACAAAAAGTCTCCCCCCCGCTAACAGTCCAGCACTGGTTTTTTACGTTTGATCGGTCGAAATTCAATATTTTCAGGCCCCTCCACCGATTCCTGTGCCGTCGGCTACGCCTCTGCGTGAGGTATGGTTTTTCAATATCTTTATCCCCTCTCGCTCTGTCTGTCTGTCTCGCTCTCTCTCTCTCTCTCCTAGCAATAAATATCTCCATTTTCAGCCTCCACCACCGATCCCAGTGCCGGAAGTGGCGCCCGGCTTCAAGCTCGACAAGATTTTCATAAAGCAGGAGCCGGTCAGCCCGACGGTATCGCTTTTTGCCTTTATTTTTCGAAATTTGTATTCTTTAGAGCTCGAGCTCGCTGGTCACCATGCTGGCCGCAAACTCACCCAAGGTACCGAATATTCTGTAAATTTTTTTATTCCTTTTTAGGATCACATCGCCAAGTCCGTCGCCAGCCCCGCCGCCGATCGCGCCTTCGCCAAGCCGACACCACCACGTAAATTTTTTCAACCGCTTTACGAACTGCCGACCGGCGTTTACGGCCCGAAAAGTTATTTTAAAATTTTAGTGTGGCTCTTTAAGTATGTTTGTAAAGCCATTTATCTTAAATTACGGCTTTCATAGCCAATTGGTAAATTTTGCTCTGAAATTGAAACGGACCCTTTTTCTCTCAAGATTTCGGGCCGCAAATGTCGTGCATTTCTAGCTAATTGTCTGTTTCCAGCGGCCACCAAAACCGACAAGTCACGAGCGCCGCCCAGCCGCCCGTCGAAGCCGCGCGAGGTGCCGGAGCCAACACTGCCGCCGCGTGACGAATCGCGTGCGTCGCGCAAGGCGACCGAGCGCCCCCGCGACAAGCCCGACGAAGCCGAGCGCAAGCGGGCCAGCTCGGTATATTTTTTGCGAAAATTTGAGGGTTGATATCCGAGTTTTTCGAAAATTCTGTTCGATTTATCTTACAGGATAAGAAATTTTGCCCTGTGACGTGGCGTATCTTATAGAGCTGGAAATTTTGAAACAGGGATCGCCAAATGTCGAAAATTAAAAAAACTAAGTCTGCGAGAAAGATTTATCAAAAATTCACAAGATCCTCCGTTGAAAGCTAATATTCTCGAAAATCACTCATGGGTTGGATTACAAAATTTGCGGCCCTAGCTCTGGCCGATCTAGCCTTTGCAAAACCCTGTTATCC